GAGAGAGAGAGAGAGAGAGAGAGAGAGAGAGAGAGAGAGAGAGAGAGAGAGAGAGAGAGAGAGAGAAAGAAAGAGGGTGAGAGAGGAAGATTCGCATTTCTCGGTGTTAAAGCGCTCAAAGAGGAAGCATGACCCGGCCACGTGTGTCTCAGCAAGACGCGAAGTCCTCGCAAGAACACATTGTTGCGTGTTCCTCTGAGCTTACCGGCGTCGACGGAATCTTACCGTCTTTGGGATCCTTCCTGAAGCTCGTCGGCGCGCAGCCGGCGTCGCTCGTCCGCCGTGCTTCTTGTTCTGCACGTTTTAAGGGTGGGCGCATGCAGGCAACACAGAGAAAGAAAGAGAGGGAGAGAGAGCGGGCGAATATCAGGAAGTGTACGCGTATCATATGCAGCGGCATGCAGAAATACACACACACACTAACAGAAAGAAACAACGCCGACACGTAATCGTAAAATTCCGGAAAAAGTTGCGCCGATAACTCGAAGCTGCGCACGATGTTCGATCGCATTTATACAAGTATCGATTAATTGTTCGAGACCGTCGTCGCGAAGCACACGTTGGTCAAATTGTTTATAGGAACAACGCGGAAATACGCGTTCAAATAAACAAAAAAGTGAATACGAAAATCTCTCGCGTGCATCGATCGTTCTTCTCGAATTTCGAGACTCGGCTACGCCAAGGAGATGCTGGATTTCTGACTTAATGCAGACTTTTCGTACTTTGCACTGTCTTTTTACTTAACTTATTGTGTCGTAAATTATACAAATGTTAATTATAACGGAATAAAGTAAAAGTATTAAATATTAGTCCAAAATTAGATACCAGTGTCACTAGTATCCAGGCATTAATATTTTTATCTCACTTTCTATATTATAAAAAAAAACTAAACAAAATTTTTCTAAACTTTTATATAAGATAGCGTACTCCGGTCATTATTACTTCACTCTGTATAAGCATTTGCAATTAAATAAAGTTCAATAAAAAAAATAGTGCAAAACTGCATTATGTCGGTATCCAGTATTCTCTTGAATTTAAAAATATTCAGCTCTCCGTTTAGACCGTTTCGTGAAATTTTCTCTTGATCTGCAATACGCCAATTTCGAATTTAATCAATTACCTTTCGCAAAGTGCACACGTAAATACCACTCGAACGCGTTTGTCACGTACATTCGAAACGTTAATCTCATCGGGCGCGCTATTTAGGTATCAACGTTAATAATCGCATTAATGTCAATTGCCTCGTTCGTGCGACGCAGCTACTTGACATAATGCCGGTCAAGGTGACGTCCCGTCGGGTAATATCCCCAGAAGGCGAAGAAGTTCCGTTGGATTAGATCGAGCTTGCGAGGTATCGGCTTAACGGCGACCGGAGTAAATCACAATTGCGATATAAAGGAGATTAGAGGGTGGATAGAGCATAAATTTATGCACGTTGACGACGCTCGGATTGAATTTTTATGCTCTTGTTATTTCATTTTTTTTTTTTACGATACGTCGTGGAGAGAAGCGCGGATAAAAAATCTGAGCTTTCACGAGTGCACCGTTGTCTTTTAACGCTTTCTCGTCGACATCACGTTAACGACCCGCCGAGAAAATCGAGAAAACCAGGGAAAAAATGACTGTACATAATTATAATTATACATAAATTATATATGAGTTTTTCTGTATAGTCACTATACAGTCACATGTATAATCATACATGCCCACATAGAAGAAAATAATGTTAAATGAAAAAGAGAAGAAATAGTCTCGCTCAATTAAACGTCGACATCATGTGCCGTCAGAAGAATTTACTTCTATTGTGTTTATATGACATATATAACATAATATACTTTATATACAATATATATAGTATAACATATATAGTATAATATATAGTTATATATAATTTTATTCTTTGTGTGGACACGTATAATTATATATGATTATATATAGGGATAAAACGCATATATGATTTTTTTTCCCAGGAAGCCAAATTATCGGGTCCAGTCGCTGTTTTCGATGAAGACAGCGCGAACATTAGTTTTTCTTCTTTCAATAGCAAAAAATGATCGATAAGCATGAAAATCATCTGCCGAGCGCATTCAACGTTACTTATCGCGTCATCATGTATTTGTCGTAACGCGCATTCGCACATTGTCACACCGCGAACAATGGCGCAGCGTCGATCGTGCGTTGGCCGATCGATCTCGCAATTAATCCCCCTCCCTCCGCTATTTTTACCTCATTCTTTATTCGCTTTATCCGCGCGGAGAAAATGTAGCCGCATCGTTTCGTAAATCATAGCGAACATTAGCGCCGATTATTTATAGACGCCGCGAACGAACGCGCGGCTTTCGGGTAATACTTCTGTCCAGCAGCCTCGTAAATATTCGACGCGATCGCACTTCCGATATTCCGCGCGTTATGCTGTCCGCCCTTTTCACGGGGCAGCTACGTATAAACTGCTTTGCCGAGGCGGCAGACCACCGCCACCACACAAAATCGCGAACTTTCCGGCCAGTCGAGGCCGGGTCCAAAGAGAGAATTCATAGCCAACCCGATGAGTCTCGTAGATTTTCAGAAAAAGTCGATAAGAGAGGAATTAAAGCGTTAAATGCGAAAGGAGCATGTCCAAAAGACGGGTATATCGATCTGTCTTCCGTTTGCAAAATTCTACAGTAACTCTTACTATAAAATTTTCTTCGTGCATCAAAATATTCACAAAGACTCTAAAGAAATTAATATCAGAAAGAACGAAGTGACAATTCCATTACGATTGTTCCGTTATTTTTCCAAACGACAAACGCGTCAAAATTAAACTCGCTTTCTGATCCTCGTCTCTTATCGACCGTTTTGTCTACTCGACAGACTGCCGCTCAACCCGGGAAAATAATCGGCGATGTTCGATAACGATCGGCAATTATACACACGGAATCGTGGATGCCTGAATATTCCTTAGATTGAAAGTTACACGATTTTCGGCCTTATACATAACGCTTGAGATTAAAAGTCGCACAAGTAGCTCTAGTTATAATGACGTTTTTTAACTGTTTCAGTTTTATTCATATACGCAAGGCTAAGAAAATCGTGTAACTCTCGATCTAGAGTCGCACTCCAAAACGTCCTTTTTTATAAAATTTTTCTCGATACTCTATATGTAACGTAAACTATAAGTATCGAGTAAAATTTTTCTCAAAAAAAGGACGTTTTAGAATGCAACCCTATTCGGACATTAATGGCGCCTACGGCATGTGGCGTAGCATGCGGACGGAATCGATGAAAGCCGCGCACTGATGTTTCCACCCTCTGTAGTAAGAAGGGAGGAGGAAGCCTTAAGGGATGTGCTAGATCATTCGTGCTACAGACCGATGGCCGAGGAGTCCTGGCGTCGCAATGTCGTCGGCTCGTTGCTGGCGTTGTTGGCCTGGTGGAGGCTGGCCGGCGACGATGGCGACGCACCGGCTTGGCTGTTTTGGCTGTTGTTGCTGCTACCGCTGCTGCTACCGCCTCCTGCGCTGCCAGCTAGTCATGCAATCAACCAACCAAACACGAGCTAGTGTCAACGTCGACGAAGCTTTGGCGCGTTGCGTCGCGTCGAGTCGCGTTGGCACGCCGACTCCTTCGACTCCGGCGATGATCGGCTCGAACTGCGCCCTTCGTCTTTCGCGATTCTTCACTTATATCGTAATTTCACCCGTGCAATTGTGTAGCGTAAATTCTCACTTGTACCGTAGATCTCATTTGTAAAAGCGCCAATTGATACTATTATTTTACGGTTCGCACGATGGAGAGGTTGTGTTCTATAGCCGAATATTTCGACAAGACGTTTGAACGATCTGTATTTGAAAACTGTCAATCAATGGAAGTGTTTGAATCGTACGATTGAACGAAGTGCTGCGAAGTGATTAAATTTAGATTAAACAAATTTAAATTAAATCGAGAAGTCGTAAAATGATTTTTTACCTTTCGAGGCTAAGAATCAGACTGACACGGGAAACCAAGCTAACAAATACATATCAGGTACAATATAGTTATCTATAAAGAAACATTCGAAATGATAAATTTATCTCGTCGACCGCAGGTGTCAGCTTCTACGGGGACACTCCGATCACGAACATCTCATTCCGTTTGTTCATCATATTTCTCGCAATTCATCCGCCCTGCGAGAACGAACGCGGCCACGACGCGGCGGGAAGGTGTAAAACGCGCGATCGATCATCGCGCCGTCGTCTATTCTCAGTGCTCGAATCCGTAAATAATAAAGATCCGACGAAGGAGCGCAGGGAGCCGTCGCGTGATATATCGCCGGGAGAGCGAGCCGGTGTGTTAAACCGTAGATCCTGTTAAGAGGAGTGAAAGAAGTTAAGAAAAGAAAAGAAAGATCGCTAGTCAAGCGGTCATCCGGTCGAATGACGGGATTAATTGATTATTCGTCAGACAGTACTCTGTGTACACGTGTGCGTGCGTTCGTACGTGTGTAAGCGTGTCGAAGGACGGCACAGAGAGAAAAGCTCATTTCTTGGTCCTGTCTCGTGCCTCCTGCTAAAGAAGGATCGTCTTAGGTAGGGGCCTTATCTATCATTCAAAATGATCGCTGGGTACACGGGCGCACGCGTGCGTGTGTATGTGTGTGTGACGTGACTGTAACGCACGCAAAAAGGACGGACAAGCTGTCGGGAGACACGTAAAATTAAAAGGGGTGTGAGAAAGCGTGAATATTCGCCGTGACGTTATTGAAAAAGTGCGAGAAGAGAGGCGGGGAATATAACGTATATCATGTGTGATATACTTGCCATGCGCGAGCGAATGGCAAATATACCGAACGGTGAGGTATCGTGTAAATTCCAAGTCATGCTCCAGCTCTCTAAAGCGGAAACGACCGATTCCTGCCTCGTCCTCGTTTTATCAGGGAATACTGCTGCGTCGGCTACGTATACGCATACAAGATGTCCCATGTCAACTGTCAACTAGTGAAATGGCAGATAATCAGACGAAAAGTCCTTTTTTATAATACAAGCGATAATTGAAGAGTTTTTATTTAATAGAGCTTGCTTAGCGCGCCCTAAGTAGCGGAACAGAAGTAGTGCTTAGATTATTTTTTTGATTAGTGGGGGGAGGAATAGTTAGTCCAAATAGCGAAGTTAGTCTTGAAGACAACGGTTCGTATTTTTTACCCTAAGCATTAAACTTAATTATAATTAATGACTCGTTAATTGTTGCTTGTATTAAAAAATGGCATAGGACTTTTTGTCACATTTTGACTTCTGTTCTCTTGAAATGAAACATTTCTGATTGAATCGATAAAAGGAGTATCCGGTAATCAGTGAATATTCACTAATTTTCAGTGAAAGCATTCCTTTTTTACTGCTCCGTTTCGTATCTCACTGATTTTGAAAATAAGATTACAAAATCTGAATTTTTCCATTCGTGTACTGAGAGAATTTTTTAGCAAAAATGATATATATATATATATATATATATATATATATATATATATATATATAACTCCTCCTGATTTCATCTCCGACATGACATTCTGTAAAAATTTCAATTAAAATGTTTTAAATATAAGAAGCCCGAGTAACGCCGGTAGTTTAAGCTAGTCAATTATAAGTACAACATTTCAGTGAAGTATACAAGATGATACCTCAGAGAGTGACAAATACTTGGCGGTCAGGGTGAGACACCATGTATACGTGCGCGCGCGACTCTCTACGAAGAATCTCGATAAAGCGTGGAAGCAGAAATGGGTCATCCGGGCAACCTTACCGATTCGTCGAGATCGCCGTTGCTTGGCGCTTCAGCGTCTCCTTCCTGGGCACGTGCCTACCTCTTGTCCTGCGACACGAGACACAGAGGGAGAGAAAGAGACTGGCGGGCATTAAGCGACGATCGTTCCGCGGAACGGGCATCTTTCCTCCGCGAGGAAGACCACCGACGACTCTCCTCTCTACAATTTATTGCTTCGGCTTGCGAAGTAGACGGACTCGAGTGAGACCCGCGATCGATAGCGCGCATTTTAAATGACATAATAATGTGCGCGAACGCGGACTACGCCGCACAATTCGTAATTAATAAATTAATACTTAAGGCGGTAACCCTCTCTCTCGATTTATCTCCGAGCCTGATGCGCGCGCGCACGTCTTATCCCCGTTTCTTCCCTTCCGGATTATATCACGGATTATGTTTAGACGTCGCGTATAAATAATCGATAGATTTGGTTGAAGAGAGAGAGCTTCGTTGCCGAGAGATAATTCTCGAATGCGCAGAGCGAAGTCGATGTATATGTGCACGGATAATACTTAGTCTTACAGCTAAGACCATTCGACGCTCAGAAGAGTGCAGTGGCGAACTTGATCCGACGCTGCGATTTACATTCGACAAACTCGTAAACCTCTCTGAGCACACCATTCTCTCGAATCGTCATTTCACGGGACGAAATCAAGAAAGAGAAAAAGAGAGAGAGAAAGACTCGAATTCAAAAAGCGCACCTGTACGTGCGGCAGGAGAGTACGTCGACGTACTACAGACGATCATCTCGCACTGAGACGAGAGAACAACCGGAATTGGCGCGAAAGCCAATTGCGACAAGGTCAGGTGAGAAAATTCACGATGATCGCAGCTCCGTCGCGTAACACCTCGATATTGCGAGTATTGACGATATCCGATATATTTTTCACGGAATCATCGCGCTGTAATCCCGCGCTTGAATTCCCTTCACTAATTCGCACGCTCATTGTATCGATGGATTACAATCCATTCGAGTCGTAATCGAAGCCACACAAAAAGTTCAACGCTCGCCAGCAGGCGCCCATCCGTCCGGTCGCGCTTTCCTCTCACAAAGGGAGGACCAGAAGTAGAAACGTGCTTTTGAAATGCGGTTTGGGGATTTGTGCAAGCACATCCTATTGAGCGAGCATTATATAAACGCGGGCCTGTAATAGTTTTTTACAAATTCTCAGTTAGACATGATAAGCGTTGTCAACAAATTTCTGTAGCTACATCGTGAAAGAAATCCAGTCTCGACAGAATGGATGGTTTACCATCGAATACTTTGGCTGTAACTAGTACTGAAACATCAGAGTTTCCATCGAATAAATACGATAATAAACAAACAGTTCATCACGAACACTGTTAATTGTACAACGGATTTATTGCATAGAAATCATCACATTTTGAACACAAAAAAATACAGAAATTTGCATAACTTTCTTGTTCCTTTCTTTGAAATCTATCACGCTGCCAAGTGGTTTATCGATCTGATGACATTCATATTTTTCATTCGTAAAAATTGATCTTTTTTAATTGGTAAAAAAGATAAGGGGTGTTTGAAACTAGAGTTTGGAATTTTCAATATGGATAAAGAACTCTGATATTTGGAGTAAACCGTATTCTAGAAAGGCGTTTTCTATCTCTGGTCCTCTGATCGTTCAAGGGTAGCTTGAGACGACAGTGGTGGGATCCGAAGGGAAATTGTTCTTTCGATCTGTGGGCTCTTCTCAGAACAAGGGTGTAACCGCGCTCTCTCGCTCGCCGGACAACTGCTCCACCGTTTCGTCACCGCGGCCATTCGCAAATTCCAATCTAAACTTTCACATCACGATCGTTTTAAATCTTGAGATTCGGAAGAATTCGGCAGAAATATTGCCCGAAATCGCTCCAAAGACTCTCGAGGGTCGCCTCGACGAGCCCCGGAAATTGAAGGAGGCCGCGATTCACAGCGATCCCACCACCGCACAGTGTGACGAATGAACAATCCGAAGGGAAATCATCCTTATTCTGATACATTAGTTTTTAAGTGACATTTAGTCATTGCACAACAATAATTATATTTCGATCAAATGATTTATCAAACTTTTTTTCAACATAAGAACCGTGTATCTTACAAATTTAAACAAAATTATTATACATTTTTTAGTAGTTTCATCATGACCTCCCACGTGAAAATATAATAAATAATGAAAGTAATAAACTCTTCATTACGTGAATTCTTATTACTCTTTGTCTATATAGCAAGAATTCGTTGTTATCACAAGTTTCCGCCAAATCGATGTTATGATCTCTGAAATAATAGCTACCTCGATATCAGCATGTTTAACTGTAAAATATTCGTTTTGCAGATATCTTTCTTTATCACGAAATTATTGTAGTTACAGAATTGATTAACATAGCTGTCAAGGCATCATGTATCACTTCGATAGCGTCTCTACAGATTGCTTGATGTCATCAGTGCCAAAAGATTGTGTCGATACGATTATGCAGAATAAACGTCAAGTGGCAATTCAATATGAATCTAGCAAAATTGAACGATTTCCCTTCAGATCGACGTTTTTTTTTTTTTTTTCGCACTGTGCTCTAAATCCTGATTTACCTTGGGTCCCTTGAAGGAGAACCGCGGCAATTCCGAAGGGGTTGCCCGCAGCGGCCGGGAGCTGGGCCTGGGGAGTCTGGTTCGGGGCCGCTGCCTGCTTGCTCCCTTGCATGGTCGTGGCTGCGCCGACCGCCCTGGAGAACGCGGACATTGTCGCGGGGTTGCTCGGAGGTGTACCTTGGAACGAGCCAAGAGCTTGTTGTCGGGCAAGGTATCACGAGAGGTGATCGCGCCGATCAGCGGCGACAACAACACGGCCACGAAGAAAAGCACGAGAAAGCGCAAATGGCGGGGCGAGCTCTGCCAAGTGACTGTCGTGTCTATTGACACGGCCCATGATTTATTTCGGCACGTTGACAAAGTCGCTACGCGGCGAGGGGGGAAATACGTGCGGAGGAACGTACGACAAGTCCCCTGGTGCGTCGATTAATCGCCGATGAAAGGCACGAAATAAGGCGAAATCACAAAGCCACACACGTCTTTGGACCTGGTCGTAATGCGGTCCATTTACCACTTAGTTAATCGAGGAACGAGGGTTAATGCGGCGTTATCGAGCCGTATCGATCGAGCAGGCTCGCTTCATCGTGATAAACGTACGTTGGTGTTAGTGTCGAGGAACGTTTCTACGGCCGGACATATAGAATTCGTGGCTGGAGAACGAGAGGAAGATTAGTCCAAGATTAGTCGGGCAAATATCTCGAGGAGACGAGCCAAGATTTTTATCCGTTTTAGTCGATCGGGATCGTCGACAATCGGATCGATAAATCGTCGAGCAAGACGGGGGCATAAAGAGAAAGAAAGACAAAGAGAGAGACGTTGGAAACGTAATTATCAGTAGCAGTGGCCTTGGTAAGTGAAACGAGAACGACCACGGACGGACGGATTTTCTCTCGCACAGACAAGATTCATTCTTGAAATAGATCTTGGGCGCGTCTGTGATCGTAACACGCGGCTATACGTAGCGTTCAGCCGCGTCGGGAGTTCATTTTGCATAAGACATCGTTAGAGACAGTCCACGACTAATATAGAATCGGCAACGATCGGCGTGTACAAAATGCTTCGGGTTCTCCGCGCTTCGTCTCGTCTATGAATTTTCCTTGCCATTTCCGAGTACACTTCTTTTTTTTAATCAAAAGAAATAGTAGAAAAAAAACGGAACAAAGTCGTCAGAGTCAGCGCCAATCTTGTAGCGAGATTATGAGTTACGATATTCCACGTAATTCGTGCGTTTCGGTCTTCTTGTCCGACCCTCTTCAGCGATACATATCTATAAGTACACAGAATCGTTATTAATCGTTAAAACAAAAATTCAATATCACATTTGATAAAGTATTGATTGAACATTGTAAATGATATATATAGTGAGATAAAGAAAAATAATAGAAAAAAAATGACACAGATATACAATTTAGGCTGCAACCCGCGATCAAATGTACTCTTTAACTCAATTGCCAAACATCAAAGAATGTTATTTTATCCACTCAGTTTGCCAACTATGCAAGTGTGCAAGGAACGAGAGTCTGGAGAGACATTCAAAGTTATTTTTATACATTATATGTAACATTTCTTTTTTCTTCCTTGATCCAAGTGTGCCGAGGTCTCGGCTTACGAAGGATCGATGATATGGGAGTTCTCTCGTCTATCACAAGTTATGAGATTATTTTTCTCCAGGTGGTTTCTCATAGAATTGGAAAATTCAAGAGCTAATAATATTTCAAGTTTAAATCCCCGGTGTTTCTCTCTTCTCAGGTAAGAGAAATGTCGCGGCCGCTAGTTCGATCAAGAAGGCCGTAGACGAGTGGAGTCGTGGAGAACCCTGAGACGTCCTGAATGCATTCGAGATCGCGTGTCGATTGTCGAAATTTTCGCGATTACCGTCAAGTGTGCTCGATCGGCCGTCTTGGCGAATAAACAGCGCTTCGTCTACGAAAGCGGCGATTTACCAAATTATCCGGAAAGACATTCCCACGCAGCACGTTTATATCGACAAGTATTTTTACCGTCGGCGGTTACGATGTCGGGTAAACAAACGCCGACGCGAGAGCGAAACGTGGTCGTGCGGAATGAAAAGCTGTAGACCAGATTAAGTTGGCCCGAGGATTATGCTGGTCACACGTTTTGACTCATGTATTTATTATGAAAATGATAGTAAAGAAGGGAATGTTCCTTTTAGGACATAGATATTAGGACTTAGATATTTTTCCTATGTCCCAAAAAGGACATTGTCTTGCCCATTCTTGTTGTTCTTGCGATAAATATATAAACAAAATGCATAGCGAACATGATTCTCGGGCCGACTTGACCTGGTTTCCCCTACAGGATGTTGCGTCACATACAGGCCAATGTGACGAGATTTGCGACACTTTCGTCTTTTGTTAATAATAAAAATGAACGTAATTGGAGCGAGCAAATCGAGACAAGTCCGAGCTAAATCCGGACATGCACACTTCTCAGTAAAGCGAGCAAACAACTCGTCATACAGTGCTGATGTAACAACCTGTACACGCGCATAATGAAATCACGAAATGTAAATAAGTAGGGCTTTACCAACGACTCACCATAGTTGTCCGTGTGCTTGAATGAGCCGAGCACGCTGTTGGCCGACATTGCGAGACGATCTCTTCCGAACTAAATCGTGCGCGCGCGTGTGACCGGCGTACTCGACGCTAACGCGGCGACCACGCGACGTCGATCACGTCGCCAACACGTCGACGACAAGTCGCGTGAGACAGAAGAATGCTCCAAGAGAGCTCTTCTGGTCCGGAAAATTCGCGACCAGTCGACGCGGAAAATCGCAGCACCGCTCACTCCCGTGTGACTCGCTCCGAGTCGGCTCCCGAACGAACGACGCGAACCGCTGCCGATCTATTTTCATGTAATGCCAAGCGGCCACAGGTATTTCTGTTGACAGTACGTCTTGGGCGCGCGCGAAGCGAGCACCAAGTGGCGCCGCGGAGTTCTTCAGTTAGCCGAGATAGTCGTCAATTGGTGTCGGCCAGATAGATAAGACAAAGATAAGGACGATATGAAGCGAAGATGAATGATAAGATGGAACGACGGAAAAAAGGAGATTTGTGCGATATTAACGAGCTACTTTTCTAAACTACATTCGCCAAAAAGTTACGGGTTCTTCAGGCTGTTCAGTTTTTACGGCTGTATAGTTGTTCTACTGCGGGGTGAAGCGTTACAGTTGACGTTATTCGGCGATTTTAAATAATCGAATCCAGCTGTGTGTTTCTCGACCGCCTGGTTAATTCTGCATAGGCTTAAAGTTCAGAGCGCCAGCGAGCTCCCTACATTAGTTGGTTAGTCGGAGCTTAATTATAACTTTCGAGTTAATTATCACTGTAGTCCCGCTTCCCTGCCGTTCTCATTATGACGTAGTTGTAACTAATTTGGCGGCAACGACTTCATTATGCGCACGTACACGCCCGCTGTGACGCGAGAAATCGTCGTCGATATTTTACAGCTCATTACTCGATTGCTCTTCTCAATTCGTCCGCTTCCACGATTACGACTACGGATATTCACGGCACTCGCTTTGAGCGAAGATAACGGCAATTATCCATTTCTTCCGATTCGAAATTAATTAGACTACCAAAAGCCGGAGTTACGAACCTCGCGTTTTTGCTCTCTCCTATCGACTGAACGTCCAAGTTCCTTCCTTCTTTATTTTACGTCATGTCGACAGTTACGATCCAACCATTTTCATTTTGTGTTAGTCCATGGAGAATTTGTATTGTGATTACAGCACGCAGTGGTATTAACTGTAGGATTAGTACTCTATTAAAGCGAATCAGTAAAGAGATGATCTCACCGATCATTTCAAGGAGTATTCACTGAGATTTTCAATGAAAACACCCCCATTTTGCTGCTCCATCTTACACCTCACTGTTTTTCACTAGTGGAAGATTTTACTGCAAAATCTGTAGCGTACAAACTCGTTATACGTATTCGTTATACTGTATTAAATCCAACTCTCTATGTTTGCGGTAACGGGATTAACGGCTCTCATGTACCTCGCGTGCAATGATAATGCCTGTATTTGCAAAGTACATCAATAATGAAAACAGTCTCTGTTATTAACTGATTCTTTCAATTCGAGACTTTACTGATTGCAGCAAAAGTGAAGGACATACTGATTGTACTTTAGAGAGTAGTAAAAGAAATCGATAATCGTCGTGGTTCAATTACGCACACACATCTGGAAGCACAGCTGCTCAAGGGACACATAATACAGTCGCAAATGTAGTGACGGTCGGTCGCAGGACACTATGTAATCCCTGCGTTGTATTCGCATCAGTTGCGAAGCAGATTTCATCGCGAGGAGGGGCTCAGGAGGATCCTCGTTTCGAACCGCGGGATTAATTGCAGACTGATTAGAGGGGGGGAATCAACGCACGTGCGGGGGAAGAGAGGAGAGGGAACAGAAAGAGAAAGAAAGAGAGAGAGAGAGAGAGAGAGAAGTAGAGAGAGAGTTCTCTCCAAAGTGTTAGTCGACGAGACAAAAGGAGAGACGGTAAATCCGCCATACGATTTCGCAGAAGCTGCAACAGACAGGGTGCAAAAGCTCGAAACTGGGCGCAGAGTCTCTCGTGAGATTGGCTTCTCCCATCCGCGAACGTTCGACTTGAAGCAATCTTGTTTTCACTACAGCTAATATACCGTAGATATAATCTATAATCCTAACCGTAGATATAATCTTCTATATATAAAAAATATATATAGGTATATAAAACATGAATATCCAAAAATTGCATTATATATCAACAATTTTTGATATTACGATTAACCCTCTACTGTCCATTGCGATACTGAAGTCACAATTTAGTTTCTTCATTATTTATCTCCAATAGGAATGTTATTTCTGTCTTGACTGATGTGACGTGAAAGTCATGGCTGCCTCTTTTTACTATGTTGGCAGCGATAGTAACTGCCCAACATGATCTCAGAATCACAAACCTATTTTGGGAAAATAAAAAATTAGAAAAATAAAATTTTACCTTATATGTGTTGAGTACTTTAAGTTACTGTTGAGTTTTAAACATCCTATATGAAAAATCTGTTAAACATGAGAAATTAATTTGGATAAAGAGAGAAAGAGAGAGTAGAGGGTTAACATAGATATATAGTTACTTTGAAAATTTCCTAGAATAAAATTTCACTCAAAACGAGAGAAAAGTGGCAGTTTTTTTACTTGAAGCGTAGATAAAAATACTGCCACTCTTGTATCGCAAGAGTGAATATTTCATTCGAACTTAGAGTGGATTCTGACTTCATATGAGCGAATGTTTCGATCGATTAGAGTGAGTATGCTCCTGTAACGATGGTATTAGATTCGCCCTTGAATTTAGAATAAAAATACTCATCCGGCGATTCGAATTCTCTCTACGAGAATTCTCTATACGAGTGAAAAGTCACTCAAATTCGAGTGACTCACTCTGCTTTCCGAGTGAAGTTTCACTCCGAGAAATTGAGAGAGTGCAAAATGTCGGCGACAACGCGGAATTACCTGTCCATACGTGTCATGACTGTTCGATAATACGCAGATTTGATGAAAAGAAAGATGAGAATGTACATCCTTGATAGGTGATAATTCGACAAAATCCCGTGTAAAAAGCGTGGCACAAATATTTTTACAGCAACCGCGACGAATTATGCAAAACACAGAGAACTTTGACAAGAATTTTGCACGAGTCGTTCGACATTGTCGTAATCGAAACGTTTCCTCCTATAATTTCGCAGTTTTCTTGCACAAAGTTTGCAAACAGACATGTCGCCTCTTCCCTTTCCCGTTTAATTACGACGCGTAATCCGGATGTTTTCCGCTTGGCTGAGCAAAGTCTAGCATGCGGAAAACGCGGATGGGAGAGACCAGTGCAATCGCGAGACGTTCACATGTAACGCACGATACGTATATATGTATATATACGTATATACATGTATAGAGACGCGTATTACATATGTAATAAATAGTAGGAAAGGAGAGACGTTGAAACGCAAACGTTTCTCGCTCCCCGAGAGTTGTTGTTGGCTTTACCTTCGGGTTCTTTGGCAATGACCGTGCTGCTCCGGTCGACGCCGCCCTTCTTATCCTCTGTACAACATACATACATACATCACGTATACGGATATGCGACAGTTTCTGGTTACATAACGCCTAATACGATTATACGAAATATCGATAAAGCCACGTCGCATGACGAGAAGCGCTAAGCTTATATTCCTCGATTGGACATTGTCGCATAAGTATCGCTTCCGTCGCTACTCAACGATACGCCGCGGGGAAGTGAAGACCGTGTGAGGAGTCAAATCCGTAAAAGCCCTATCAATTCTTCGCTCGTCTCGGCTTCTGCAAATGTTGTATAATCAATTTCGTGCAACTTTTATTTTCAGGTTCTCACGCGAACGCATTATCGTTTGCCCGCCAAGATAAATTTTTCCTATCGCGGATGTTGATCGAGCACTCGTCCCGATGATCGATATTAACGTTCCGCGCTGGAAGTAAATGACGAGGAAAGTTACGTGACGATAGATTAGATCGATCATCGACCGCGACATACGTGTGCAGACATTGGCTTCACTTCTCCGCGGTATACGCTCGTGACAAGTGAGTTTCTTTCTTGGCAATCTCAGTGATTGGATTTGAATTCCGATTGTAACGGCAAGCGGCCAGGCTCCGTATTGGCATTCGTTTCTCATCGTCGATTCGACTTCAATATTTCGATCAGTCGCAAAGTAACAAGTAGCGCGCGCATGATTACGGCATGACTACTATATCAATTTTCATTGATGTAACGTGTCGACTCTCAAACGACAGGAACGGGTCATATATCGACATTTTTTGGACTTGTTTCTTCTGCGTGTTCGAAAACTTCGTATCGGAACAAATAAACGACAATTTAACAAATCTTTCTATCGCTATCTATAAAAATAGCTTTCCAATGTAATATCTGTCTTTGGCGCGAACATATCGCAAAGTTTCAGTTGCACTGAAAAATATACGTCGAAATAGGTCATCGTGATGACATTCCACCTTGTCGTTTAAGGGTTAATGTAAGGCGGCGATGAGAATTTCCTGCGGGACGACACATCGGGAATGGATTCGGAAGTTTCGCGATGCACTGTCGATTACAGGGTCGTCGAATTTTCCTCCGACAAAAAAGGTCAGAGTAGTGACGATTTTGCTCGGAGTCGTCAAATCGCGAAACGATCCCGGGGGAAAGACTCCAGCGCGCGAGTTTGCCCAACTTGCAGCGATACCTTTTCAAGCTTTTGTACAAAATTTACATCGTCAGGTGATTATTCCCGATGCGGCTCGTTTTAAATCTCAATAAAGCGACACAAAAGTAAAATTTATTGCCACTCTGTCTCACTGTGGCATACTTTATTACGCTCGGAAATTTTTCACGAGCAATAACGAGAGCCAACAAGGCCGTTTATTTGTCCGTCCGATTAGCGACGTGGCCGCGTGGTTAACGACTGCCGAATAATCACCGGACAGACATTCTCTCATGTTTTACTTCGCGCGAGATACAAACCGCGTGAAAGTCATTGCGGTTGATTTTTTGGACGAAGCCTCGGCCACTTTGCCGCGATAACACTTGGTACAATGTGATAACGAGCGCGTTATTGTAGTAATGTCGTTACGGTGACAGCTGCTGAAACGTGTAACGCCGGCCACGAGTTTGCAACCGACGGAAACGTAGCGATCGAAAGTATTCTGCGCGCGACTGTTCTCTCTGTTTTTTTTCTTTTTATTCTTTTCACTTATCGAGATTAAGTTGGGAAATGCGCGAGAGAGGAAGAAAGAGAGAGAAAAAGAGAGAATGTGCGGTGCCGTTTTATCATCCAACGATATCGAAAAAAAAAACGATCATTGGAGACAGACTAAATAGAAAATATATAATCGGTCGATACACCGGGGGTAGAGTGCTAGAGGGTGCACTATATATGCAGTGAGAACGTGCATACGTCGATAAAGACACGCATATCGATCGTGTCTCGAGTAAGGAAGTCAAACAAAAAAGTTGCGGCACGTGCAAATCGAGCCGATCGTACGATTTCGACACTTTGATCGCGATATGCTCGGCTCGATTATTCGCCAAAGAACCGCGCAAGCGAGTGGCAATGATGATTCGTTCTACACTGTGTGTCTATATCAGAGAGAGAGAGAGAGAGAGAGAGAGAGAGAGAGAGAGAATATCTAAAAGAAATAAAAAAAAAATGTTTCTTAGCTGAGCACTAATGACATACTTATCTAAATCTAAACTCTTTCACCTAAATAAACAGTTACGTTCCTGTAGAGACAAGGTTCTAAGAAAATGTACATTTTCTTCTTTGAAAGATACTTTACGTTAGAATAAAAGTAAATATGTCATTTTCGCAACAAATATAAATTTATTATTTCTGAAGTATTTTTTCTCTCAATATGTATGTATACACGAAATGAAAATTTTAATTCGGATAACTGAATGGTAACTGCACGAAAAACTCGCTGACAAGAAATAACATTTCTGTTATTGTGATCGAAAATGCTCGTTTGAACATTCAGCTATATTAAGATTCTGTTAAGATTACAATTGAAAAGAACAATTGGTTGAGTAGAAACCTCCCACAGAAATCTTTCTGTTCTCACAACCGATTCTGGTCCCCGGATAACAGAAGATTTAATTACGCTTAATTACGGAGTTGTTTCTTCCGTGTACTCAATGAGTAATTTCTAGAAGATATATAGTCGAATTATTCGGCTGTTACATCAGCGTGTGAAATTTCGAAAATTATCTGGATATTTCACTGTCTTAGCCATTACAAATTTTACTTATTGCCAGCGTCTCAATAACTACAAAATACACGCGATTTTTGATCTTGTAGACTGTTCGGCTTGCCGCAATCCTTTCGCGTATAATTCGCCAAATATCCTCGGTTTATGCGCGTCTCATGATCGTCTTTACGCGAATCGATATCAAGTACGAATACGTGTCGAACCGTTAAATTTGCAACGTGGAGGCTTCAACTCGAAACTGCGAATAGAATCGTCCGCAAAATTGTAGCACATGTTTTCAGATTCTGAGAATGAATCGCAACGAGAGAAGGGAGAAATTGTTCCTGTCGCAGTCATTTCACGCTTGTGGCACTGAAATGCGATTTTCCTTTCCCCCTCCCCTATGTCGTAATCTTCCCGACAGGTTCGAGACTTGACAAAAAGCCGTATGATGGCGAGCAAGCGGTGCAATAGCCAGGAAGCATGCGAGAAGCGGATTGACACAAAAAAGCTAGTCGGAAGAAGAAGTGAACGGAGTGTCAGCTTCGAATCGGCTGTGCGGGTGAACGGGTTTATACACGTACAGAAAGAAAAAGAGAACGAGAAATAGAGAAAAAGAGAGAAAGAGAGAGAGAGAGAGAGCAGAAGGGTGGGGAAAGGAATAGACAGGCAAAGAGAAGGAAGTAAGAAAAGTGCTAGAAAAAGAAAAACGAAAGTATATATACGGGCTGGTGTTCATAAATCCATAACACCGAGTTAAACATCGAGTCGAGACCTGTGACAATGACAGAGAAACGGTATGTGTGAGTTTGGATTCGGTGTATAATATACAGGTGTGTATGTGTATATATATGTACACACAAACACACACACACATATATATAGTGATGTGACCTATGCTAAGGGCGTGTTCGTGTGACGATGCAGGGACTCGTGTCGGAGAGGTCGTTCGAGGAGGCGACCGGCGTCCTCAACCGCCTCCTCGAACGGTGCACGCGGAGGAATCACGTCGCAGAGAAAAGTACACAGAGTGAAATCAGACGGGATCCGCGAGCCTCCGTTATTTGCTCGGGTGTCCGCTAACGGAAGCCTCGGGATCAATTTCGCCCCGATTCACGCGCAATATCGGGGCCACGTGAGCCGCCACGCGCTAGGACTCGAGCAAGCAATTCCTACCGTTGACGATAATCATAGTAACGGCGCATACGATAATCATAGCAACGATAACAACAACCGCGTCTTGGTGTGCGCAATCTTCCCGTCGCGTCAGATAACGCGCGATAACGGAAAACTCGGAGGGACATAACGAACGTTGCGAGCGACAAAGTTACACGGGAAGAAGCAGGTTTGGTTGGATTCAAGCGAAAACGTCTGGTGAACGAACCAGAGAATTTGATTATTTCAACCAGACTTTTTTTGTCCGTGTAATAAATGCAATTCTTCAGTCAGACGGGCTCATAGTCGTTAATTTTATCGCACGTCACGGAAAGTCGTTGCACTCTGATGTGTTTCCTCGACGGCCGCCATTATCCCGGTCGACTTTTGCAAAATGAACGTACCACTCGATTGTATTTCTCTCCGTAGGACGTCGTTAACGCCAACGATCCATTAAAGTGCCGGCTATTTTCATTATTGTCACTGTCACGTGAATTTCTGATTGCGTCTCTCGCCGTCGGTTTTCGAATTTGAGAGACACATTCGGCGCCGAAGCGCGGTGACGTCTGTGCGTGTCATCGCGTCCCGTACGAGCGACTTTTTTGCTCTTCTTTTTTTTTCCGTTCGTAATTGCAACATCCGTGTGCAGACTCGACGCGACAGGCGATGTATATTTACTCCGTCCGCGAGCAATAAAATTCATTTACCGTCCCTCTTTATAGCGGCGAGCACGAGCGGTTGTCCGTTCGCGTCTTGCCCCGTCGCTCTGGTTCACACGATAAAACCAGAAGGCAAAATCAGACCGAATTAAAATATGCAGGCAGCGGCAAAACGTGGCAGCGAAAAACAACGAGAAGGAAAAATAAGAACAAGAAGATTTCAACACCACACGGGGAGGCGTGTGTGCGGGCGTAAAAGGGGGGAACACAAATATATATATACATATATATATATATATATATATAAATATATGCGAAAAATCTAGACGTGCGAAAGTAATGATCGTGATACGTTCCCTAAAAAGCGCGCGCTTTCGCAACCGGCTCTTTTCGTTCATTCGCGCTATTCGTGTGGGACGGGTCTCTGTGACTGGTGTCCAGAAGTCCAGAAGTCCGTGAAAAACTTCGCAAAGAAAGAGAAATACCACAGAACGAAGCCACTCGTTATCGACTCGAAGA